CTTTTATCAGTGCTTTGTAATGGTGTAGTTCTTTTATCAGTGCTTTGTAATGGTGTAGTTCTTTTATCAGTGCTTTGTAATGGTTTAGGTCTTTCATCAGTGCTTTGTAATGGTATAATGTTTGTCTTTTTATCAGTGCTTTGTAATGGTGTAGGTCTTTCATCAGTGCTTTGTAATGGTATAATGTTTGTCTTTTTATCATCGTTTTGTAATGGTACAGGTCTTTCATCAGTGCTTTGTAATGGTATAATGTTTGTCTTTTTATCATCGTTTTGTAATGGTATAGGTCTTTCATCAGTGTTTTGTAACGGTTTAGGTCTGTTATCAGTGATTTGTAATGGTGTAGGTCTTTTACCAGTGCTTTCTAACGGTGTAATGTTGTTTTCAATACTTTGTGAGGCATGAATTGGCTCTTATTTAGAGGACATCGTTTAAACAGGAATGTACATTGTTAAACATCTGAAATATCTTTTGGATGATTGTTTAAGACTCATAACGTAGGTAAATTAATATGTAGAATTATACACAGACTATTATCTGCATTGTTGCCTGATGAAGGCCGCGGTAAGAGGGCCGAATGCTCGCAAATAAAAGTATTTCAACGTAGGGAAAAGTTCGTGTATAATTCTACTAATATCTTTGAACATTGACCTCAAGCTTTCTCACGTTTTTAGTTGTGGAAGTAATTCCACCGGAAAATTTTACATCCATCTGATACTTAGTAATTGTAACTTTTTTTTTCTATGCTTCAAATATATGTTATAGATCATTATACCCTTCCCGACGGCGGGGGGTGTTGTTTTAATTCCTATGTGAACAGTATAGCTCGAAAAGGTTTCGCTCGGTTTTGATCAAATTTGGTAAAAAGGTTAAATGTCCCCTTTTGGTGAGTGTAGGTCAAAGGTCAACCCCTTTAGTTAAACCTCGACTTACAACCTAGACCTTCATTTCTTTTAGGGCGAGGAACTGATTGTTTCACCTTTCAGATTGGCTGCAGCAAACGACAAAAACAATACACTGTGATTAATAAAGGCTGGAGATGGCTTGAAT